TTATAAGTGAGTTCTAGGAACATGGGTATTTTACCGGAAGATTAAATTTACTAATTTTGTAAAAATTCCAATGATAATAGTTCATACCTTAATCTTAGATTATATATTTAATGTAGGAAAGTAAGATCTAAGGTTACTAGATACAGATATCACAAGCGTCTACAAATATCAATGATGGTATTTTTGTTTAAATTGTTTAAAAAGATCAAATATCTATGTCATCCACCAGAACATACTTTGAATCACAGAAAAGTATGGTACCATAAAATATATTGATCTGAAATTGGAAATAAATTTGGAAAAAAATGTAGAACTTCTGACTTTATTACAGGTCAATGGCATATTCCTTCAAAATAATTTGAGAAAATTGCTACACTGTATTTATAGGTGAACCTATAAATATAACAGTGGCTGCCACTTTTGATTAAGAAATATTCATTTGTCATTTTGTACAGCATTTTTGTCAATTTTCTTTGACAAATTACAACTAAACTGGTAATGCTATATGACATGTACAGTTTTTACACTAACTATTTCCACCAGTGAAAAACATTAAAATTCTTTCGTGTAATATGAAATTAAGATCATAGTGATATTACATAAAACACGTGACTTGAAAGAGATAATTAAGGTGCATTTCAATGACTTTTACCCTCAATTAGCCTGATATATCATAATCTAATTAACCCTAGATGCTAGACATAAAATAGTCATTATGTCACCTTTCTTGTTGTAACATTACAATCATGTAAAAAGATATTCTTGGGATTGTAATTAAAAAGGCGGATAGAAGTTATACGTTTGTTGTAATGAATATACATGATTATAACATTTTCAACAGTGAAATACTGTAATTTATTACATTTTCAACAGTGAAATACTGTGATTTATTTATTGAATAAAAGTGATATTCTCACTTTTCACAGTGTGAAAGGATACCAAAATGATATTCTCTCACAGTGTGAAAGGATATCAAAATAAGTAAAAAATAATTTCTGGCCTGTCATAAGACAGAGATAGTAACTAACCATCTTGATAGAGCTAAAACTGCAAATTCTTCCCAAATATGTTGCTAAAATCCATGCTATGTAATGTTTCAATCTCACAACTGGTAATTAAGCTATGATGTCTCAACCGCTAAACTATGACGTCAAGCCTATGACATTGTGTTAAGAAAAGACAGAAGCACTTCGCACTTGTGAAAATATAAAAAAAATCCTGTCCCACTCGTGAAATAAATTCCATATTCATCTACAAAACATTGAATATCCTCTATTTATTCACTGAATAAAAGTGATATTCTGACACAGTATGAAAGGATATCAAAATGGTATTTTCACAGTGTGAGAATATCAGAAGTGCGGCAAAATGACTATTTTCCTTCCCTTCACAAAGAGTGTTTTCAAAAAAATCCCTGGCGTGTTATACATGTAAGATAGAGTTATAATGAACCATCCTGACAGAGACTAATGGTAATACTGCCAATGTTTTTCCAAATATGTCATTAAAAATCCATGTTTTCAATGCTTTTTAATCTTGCATTCGCTTAGCTATATATGACATTCTTAACCGCTCAACTATGGTGTCACAGCCTATGACACTATGTTACAAAAAGACAGAGGCAAATGGAAAATCTAAGAAAATGAAATAAACAGAAAATTCAATGTCTTTTAGATGAATATGGAATTTATTTCACTCGTGAGACAGGATTTTTTTTTATATTTTCACTCGTGCGTTGCACTTGTGAAAATATTTAAAAAATCCTGTCCCACATGTGAAATAAATTCCATATTCATCTACAAAACATTGAATATCCTCTATATATCTCTTCGGAGTGTACATGTATGAGACAACTCGATTCTACCTATTATGTAGGGGTAGAAAAACAGAATTTAGTAGCTCTACATGTGAGCATCCAATCTAAAGTTTTTTGGAATGTATCAAAAACAGAACTTAAGATATGAAAATACATCCATTTTTAAGCAAGAATAAAATGACAACCTTAAATGTGGGAGTCTGTATAGTTGCTGTCTAAATATATGAAATTAATAATTGTCAAATGCTTGAAACCTTTTAAACGTCAATGCAGTCTCTATAGATTTCCATCTGGTCGGTCAATCATTTTTTTCAATGTGGCACGAGAATGAAAATATATGTACATGTAACTAATGTGATCATGTCCTCATGCACATTGTTAAAAAACAAAATTCATACATCAAAGATGCATCCAATCATAAGCAAAAATCAAATTTCTGATAGACCCAGAAAATTGCATCCTGGTTACCTATGATGTGACCAGCACATACAGCAACATGGAATTTTCTGAATTGATTAATACAATCTGTCCAGAATAGGAGTGTAACATTAATATAATAGGGTGTCAATATGATGCATCGATAATAAAATAAAGAATCGATTTTTTAAAGATACTTTTAGGAAGTATATTATGCGCACGTTTTTGTTTCAAAATTAGAATATTTGCTTAAACATTAATAGTAGAACTCATTAAAAATAAAAGTTTAATCTTTTAAATTAAAGAAAATTAAAAGAAAACATTAAAACTAACTTGCTTTAATCTTTGTTTCAGAAAGTACTAAAGACTTAAAATGCAGTTTTTTAAAGGAATGCTGAAATCTATGTTTTTCTTTCTGGCAACCAAAAAATAATTTGAACAAGAGGCCCATGGGCCACATCATTCACCTGAGCAATGTGGCTAGGAAAAAAGCAAAAAAAATCAATTCAGTATTGAAAAGCTTAAATGCATAAGTTGTCCCAACCTACCACTAAAACGGGGGGGGGGGGGGGGGGGGGGGGGGGGGGTTATGATTTGAACAAAATTGAATCTTCACTTACTAAGGATGCTTCCATATAAATATGAGCAATCGTGGCTTTGCTGTTCTTGAGAAGATTTTTAAAGATTTTTCCTATATACTCCTATGAAAAAAATTGGATCATCCATGGTAGCCCAACCCTACTCCCGGGGGTCTTGAATTGAACAAACTTGAATCTACACCACCTGAGGATGCTTCCTTATAAATATGACCTATCACGGCTTTGTTGTTCTTGAGAAGAAGATTATTCATATATACTCAAATGTTTATCTTTGATCCTCCATTGTGGCCCCACCCTACCCCCAGGGGTCATGATTTGAAAAAACTTGAATCTACACTACCTGAGAATGCTTCCATATAAATATGAGCAATCATGGCTTTGCTGTTCTTGAGAAGAAAATTTTTCCTATTTATTCCTAGTATGTAAAACTTTGATCGTCCATTGTGGCCCCACCCTACCCACGGGGGTCATGATTTGAACAAACTTGAATCTACACATCTGAGAATGCTTCTATATAAATATGAGCAATCATGGCTTTGCTGTTCTTGAGAAGAAGATTTTTAAAGATTTTTTCTATCTATTCCTACGTAAAACTTTATCATCCATTGTGGCCCCACCCTACCCCCGAGGGTCATGATTTGAACAAATTTGACTCTGCACTACCTGACAATGATTTCACATGAGTTCCATCTTTCCTGGCCCATTAGGTCTCAAGAAGAAGATTTTAAAAAGATACCATTAATTTTTCATTATTTTGTAATTATCTCCCCTTGAAAGATGGTGTGGCCCTTCATTTGAACAAACTTGAATCTCCTTCACCCAAGGATACTCTGAGTCAAGTTTGGTTGAAATTGGTCCAGTGGTTCTGGAGAAGAAGATGAAATTGTGAAAAGTTAACAATGACGACAACACCAACGACGACAAAGGACAAATTTTGATCAGAAAAGCTCCCTTGAGCCTTCAGCTCAGGTGAGCTAAAAAAACCCTGTAAATTTAAAACTTGATATATCATGATAAATTCCAATATTTTTCTGAAACATCATGATGCTTCATGATACTTTTTTCCCTCAAGATACACAGCCCTAGTCAAGAAAGCATATCTAGAATCACCTCAACCTTGCAGTTCTGCTTGAACCTTAAGCTTATCACATTTGAGTAACCTGTTTCATGTTTCAATCTACATTTCATATCACAAGGAAGAATTTAAATGATTTTCTCCAGTGGAAATTGTCAGTTTAATCATTGTACATGTACATACAGCATTACCAGTTAGTTGTAATTTGTCAACGAAAATTGACAAAAACGCTGTACAAAATGACAATATTCTTAATCAAAAGTGACTGCCGCTGTCAGCCATCGTATGAACCGACTTATAGTCAAGTATATATGGTATATATCAGATACTCATATTAAGTCTTCAGGCAACCTTAACATAGCTGTGTTATTGTACATTGTTTCTCAGATTATATTGACTGTACTGTAACTTCGGACAGGAATTAATTTTTTCACATTTAACAAGCTTTAAAGAAAACCTTATAATGTGTATGTCAAATGTAATCTTTTTGATTAATATATTATTGAGGGAGACCCTGGTACCTCAAGATGAGATCCAATTCCTGAATTTAGGCAAAATAAACATGTCTGATTAAGAGGAAAACATAATCTTAAGTAAGGCTGGGACGATACAACATTTTCTATATCGATACGTATCACGATATTTGAGCCACAATACAATATGTATCACGATATGTTTAGTTATAAAAAAAAATTTTGTATCGAAATGAACAAAACATTTCTTCACAAATGAGAATAATTTATTCAAAGAAGTTGTATATCTGTTGTAAAACAAAATTATTTTACAGAAGTGGGGTTAATTATTATGTATTTCATATTTATATTTATATTCTGCATATTAATTTTTATATATCTAATCCAAAATATTAAGCAAACAAAGAAAAAACATGTCAGAAATTTTTTTTGCGATATTTCGACATTTCTTCATAGGTATCGATATGCGTATCATCCTCACATTGAATCGATATTATCAATATCTCGATATATCGTCCCAGCCCTAATCTTAAGCAATAAATTAATTTGACAATTATACACTTTAGCTCTAAACTCTAATCTGGCGTACTGACATCAGTCTAGAGTAATGATAATCTTACCTTGAAAATCCCAGCCTTGTGACACTGTAGACACATTCAGTGTAATATCAATATGCAAATCATCAATGGTTTCAAAGCAACAAACCATTATAACAAAGCCCAGCTCTCCTAAATATTGGATTTGTGAACTTTTTTGAAAAGAATCTATTTCAGCCAAGCATTCATATCTCCTACAAAATGATTCTGTGGCTAATTTCACAATGCTCTCTGGTAAAAAAATGCATTTTTTGCTCCATGGGAAATTTGCAAAATATTGTTTAAAAAACTCTATAGCACAGTTTGAACCTTCGACCACAATTTTGTATCCAGCATCTTGGAAGTGCAAATCGAGTTTTTCATTGTTGGCAACCTCTTGTACTTGATTAGATTTGTACTTGCAGATATACCTGTACAACATGGGACTTAAATCAATTTTGTCAGTTTCACTTTCTTCAATTGATTCTTCTTCAGCTTCCTTCAAAACTTCTGCTCTTATTTCCTCAATAAAATCTTGAACACTTTTGTTAGAACTGAGATCAGCTGTAAACCTCAGTGACAATTCTAAAGTGTTGTCAGTCTTCTGTTGCTCAGACATGAAAAATTTTGTCTCTGTATCTTTTTCAAGTTGTTTTGCTGTGCTTCTCCAGCTAGAGAGTGATGCTGCAAATTTGTCTGGCTTTAAAATGAGGATCTTTCTTTTATCAAATGAGCTCTTAAAGCAATCCTTTAATTGTGCTAGGCTTTCCTCTGATGGGCTGTATAATCTTACAATTTTTTTGCCTTGTTGATCAGGAATGAGACGCCAGGATCCCAATCCTCCTTTAGCAATGACTTCGTCAATATATGCTTCTACACCAGGCCTTTGTAGGAAAGACATTACCTCTTCTTTGAACTGAACATCTTTCTTAAAAAGTGCTTCAAGCCACTGCATATTCTTTGCAGCCTCAATTGCAGCCTCCATGTCTATAACATTTCCAAGGAGCTTGACTTCCTCTTCACTGTAATATGCTTTCACATTTGGAACCTTATGAATTGGCAATTCAAATTTAATAGCTTGAAAGGCTTTTGCAATGCAAAGAAACCTTTTAGCTAATGGTACACATGAAATGCCCAGTTGTTGGTTTGCTTCAGGATCAATTAATTTCAGATTTCTAAATTTCTTGAACAATCTCTCAATTAAGTCATATACACTTTCTCCATACCCAAGTAGGCAACAACCTGAAGCACACTGAGCTTTAGTCACCTGAATTTCCTTTCTTTTCACTGCATCATCTGATCTAAAAAATTCTTCAACTTGTTTTAATTTTCTCTCCTGTACCTCTACAGTAACATACACTGTATTTTCCACACATTCATTCAGGATATCATTACAATTCTTTTCCCATTTCTGAAAAAGCATTTTGTCAACTGTTTCAAAAGGATATGTGAATTGAATTTTTAAAGTGCCATCTCTTTCATCATATTCAGTTTCAACTTTTGTATGGAGGTTTTCCATTAGCATTAAAAATTGTTGTGATCTTGTACAGACATCTTTATATTTTGCACATTCAGAAGATGAAACAGGAAGGCCTGGGTTTTCCTTTAAACTTGGTACAAACTTGATTTTCACAGCATAATCAAGTCCTGAAAATAATTTTTAAATAAAATATTTATTTTACAAGTCATGTAAAATTACAGCAGCAAAGATTCTCTCTCAAGAATTCTATAGTTAATACTTCAAACCAAGTTAAAAAGACCACCTCCCCAAAAAATATTTATTTTAGCAATTCATTTGGTATTTTAGATATTTTTTAAGCATAAAATTAAATTAATCTAATTTAAAAAACAATTTTCATGACCTTTCAAGAAAATTAAAAGCATTTCATTTTACAAACTAATGTGTATTTTTTTCTTTACCATATTTTGATTTTGCTCCCTTTTCAATGGCTGAGCCACTAGTAGTTCTTCCTTTCTGGAGGTCATTATTGTATTCCAGATCAGTTTCAGTATGACCAGGATCTTCTAAAAACATATTGAAAAAATAACAAATTAGTTACAGCATACGTCTCTGACAAGACTGTAGTTCTACTCATTTGTACTTATAACAAAGGAAAATAAAAGAAGCACTTGGACTTGAAACTTTGCAACAGCTATCAATAGAATAATGGTCCTTGGTTTAGTCTCTTTTTGAGGCAAAGTTAATTACATTCAGACTAAAACTGTAGAAGGAGTAGCCTTTCGAAAAATTTCACAGAAATTTTTATTTTAAGTAACCATGGCAACATCATTCATCAAAATTTAAAATCGATAAAGACAGTTAGTATCTAAGTGTAGTCTACTTGCATGAAATCAGACTGAAACTGTAGGAGGAGTTCTTCTTTGAAAGTATTTCTATTTTTAGTAACCATGGCAACACTGTTCATTGAAATTAAAAACTGATAGAATTATGTATCTTAGTATAATCTAAGTGTATGCAAAGTTATATTGAAATATGACCAAAAGTTTAAGAGGAGTAGCATTTTTGAAAAATTGTTTACAGATAGACAGACAGATGACAGACACCTTACTATCACATAAGCTCTTCTGTTCTCTGACCAGTGAAAAGTAACTATTTTGAAGATAATAATAACAAATTCTACTACAGTTATTGCCAAGATCAAAGAAATGTTGTGGACATTATTCTCCAATAAACCACAAACTTCATCAAAAGATTATCACCATGTCACATCTTCTGCATTCTAAGTGAAACATGACACTCTGCAATCTGTTGTTGAGATATAAACATAGGTAATCAAAGATTACAGAGCTCACCTCAACGAATGTTGTCTTTAAGCAAGGCAAAGTCCCACATTAAACTAATAATCTAGCAGTGTACATTCCAAGAATAGATGCAACATTTAATATGCAATTTTGATCTGATAGGGCTTGCATTTACTTGGGAATGAACTTATCCAAAGACTTCAAACTAGACACTCATCCAGAAAAAACAATTCAAATCCAGCATCTGAAGCAAGGTTAAGAGTGTTCATCCCTTGATGCATCATCCATGCAAGTTTGGTTCAGATAGGCCTTATAGTTTCTTGGTAATGAACCTGTGCAAAAACTTAAACCTGGTCACTGATCTGGAAAATATACATCAGATCCAGCATCTGAAGCAAGCCTGGTAATGTGCATCCTTAGATGTATCGTCTTTGCATGTTTGGTCAACATAGCTGGCCTTATAGTTACTTTAGAATGAAGCTGCTCCAAAAACTTTAACTTGGTCACTCATCCATAAAATATATGTCAGATCTAGCATCCAAAGCAAGCCTGGTAGTGTGCATCCTTAGATGTATCAACCCTGCAAGTTTGGTCAATATAGGGCCTATAGTTACTTTAGAATGAACCTGCTCCAAAAACTTTAACCTGCTCCAATAACCTTAACCTGCTCTAAAAACAATAACCTAGGAGGTCATTCCTTAGCTGAAATTGCAGCATCTGAAACCTTGACTGGTACAATGAAACACACTAGAAGCATCTTCCATGCATCTCTGGATAATGTATGGCTTTGAGGTACTTTAAAAGAAACACAAAAATTTCTTCTGAAAGTAATGGCTAGCCAACAAGAATTATTTAATTTGACAGATACTATAAACTCCAATTAAGAGGCCAGATTCCTCTAAAGAATTCCATAGAGAAGTAGACAATACCTACTTGATCAAAAATGCTCTACCAGAAATCTCCTTACACTAAACTCATTACTTAATCTCTAATTTGACAAACTGCAATCCTTAAACACCATAAGACCTGGATCCATTGCTTGATAATTACACCCATGGGACAAGAGGAATTTCTCTTATTATTGACACAAATAAAGGCAACAACATTATATTTGTTAAAGAATTGCCATAAAGTATATCATGAAAAAATGTGTATTTTCTTGATTTAACTTCTTTTAATAAGGTTACTGCAATACTCTTACATCTGTTGAGATTGTGAATAACTTGAAAGTTAAAAACGTAGGGGTTTTTTTTGAAAATTTCATCTTAATTAAAGGTCACAGTAACCTTTAAGTAGGATGTGACACATGTACCTTCTACCTCAGATGCATTAATTCATTGACAAAGTTTGATGATTCTAGGTCTAGTAGTTTTCTAGTTATGAGCTGGACAGGATTTTGCGGTATTTGGTCATATCAACTTAATACAAGAGGCCCTAGGGCCTTAACAGTCACATGAGTGTACACTGTAAAGGATCCAAAGAAGTATAAAATAAAATTAACTGATAGATGAAACTATGTAATTGCTGCCCAAGAATTTAAAAAATCTGGTAAAAATACCTTTGCTTATTCTGATGTGCTAGACCCAAGTGATCTCCTTGGGATTGTACTTGGTTTTCCTAAGTCTTACAGGGATGATAATAAATGCAAAATATACAAATACAATGGACACTTATGTGTAAAGTATTTAATATATACAGATATGTTTCTGTCACATGCCTTGTGCTACAAATAAGTACACAGAGAAAGACTGACAATAACTATTCAATGGTCAAACAGGACACCACAGTATACACCTGCTGTATACAATTGGCCCTTTCACTACATAAATATTATTTATTGAATCTTTGATAGAGAAAGCAATATAAAACATTGAATAAAGATTATTTATGTAGCAAAAGGGCAAAAACATATCTATATATATATATTCAATACCTTACACATTAGGCAAGTGTTCATTGTATTGCCTGGAAAGCAATATACTGATTGATTGATTGTATGTTGTTTTACGTCCCAAGAATCTGACTTTGAACATGCTTTGCTCATTTAAACCAAACATTCATTTTTACTTTGTTTCTATATATATAGTATTCTACCTATTCTCACTGAATTAAATAACCTGTTAATTAAAATACAAAATGAAAAAAATCTGATTAAATAACTCGGAACTATTCAAAGCTAAATCAATATTTAAAAGGGATTCTTAAACTTTCATTAAATAAAAATTTGGTGTAACATTCCTCCTTAATGTATTTTTTGCTATCAATTAAGTTTAACAGATTGAGAAATATCATTTTGATGCCATAAGTTAAGAGCTTCTCGGTGAAAAGCGTCTTCTTATCAACAACCATGTTGAATGAAAAGTGGATCAATTAAAGACTATCATATGTACAACGAATTATTGAAGTCTACTCACTGGGTTTTACTTTAAGTTGGTAACGTAAATATTGAATAAATTGTGCATCTGTATTACAGTCAGTAAATACGTGTAAAAAGTATTGAAAAATTCAGTAAATACATCTATTTCCTAACTGAAAACAGTAAATACATGTATTTTCTAAGGAGAATAGAAATTTCATAACGTATTTCCTAAAATTCAGGAAATACATGAAATTCCTGATGACACTTATTTACTATAACATATACAAGGATTTCTTTATTAACACAATTCAGCGAAGGGGAGTAACTCTCACTTGCTTCACTTATTACAATTTTGTACTCTGATTGTCTCCTAGATAAACAGGAGCAGAGAAAAGGCACTTATTATTATATTTATACACTTACAATTATATTATTGCATTTAATTAGTTTGCTTAATACTCAGGGGCAGAGAAAATTTTCAAAAAATTCTTGCATTTTTGCTATATAATCAATAGAGGCCCACCCTAACACAAGATTACTCCTGACCCAAGAGCCATAAAATTCACAACTGTGGAAGAGGCACCCTTCCTCATCATAACTATGTACTTAGTTCATTTGCTTTATACCATGGAGCAGAGGAGAAGAGTTTCATAGAATTAATGCATTTTCACTATATAATCATTAGAGCCCCACCCTAACATCAAAACCCCTGACCCAAGGGCCATGAAATTCACAATTTTGGAAGAGGCTCCCTTCCTCATCATAACTATGCATTTAGTTTGTTTGCTTAATACCCAGGAGCAGAGGAGAAGATTTTTTAGGAAATAATGCATTTCACTATATATTCAACAGATTTACCCACCCTTACACCAGAACCCCTAACCCTGGAGCCATGAATTTCACAATTTTGACAGAGGACCCAATGCTTATTACAATCTTGACAAGGGTTCTACTGCTTGATGTCCAGGAGCAAAGATTGTTTGATTGATTGTATATTGTTTTACATCCCGTTTGAGAATTTTTCACTCATATAGAGATGTCACCATATACCGGTGAAGGGCTTCAAATTTAGACCTTTACTTGGCACTCAGCGCAGGACTGTTCAGGCGTACTACGAAGAAATCAACGGAATATAAACGTACATAAATACATACCTTTTTAAACTGAATTTATTTTGTAAAGCTACTATATTATCACATGACTTTAATTTTTAATTGAAATTAACATTGTATACCCCGCTCTATACGGAATTTGGTTTGGTCATGTTATTTGACAGTCACATGATAAATGCATGTAATGTGTACTTTATGTAGGTCATAAACAAATTTCAATATCACAAGGGCATACCCTTGTTAGAATTAAAAATTTCAGTAATAAATTGTATATATATAACTTGTAGTTTATGAAAAGTGCTGCTGCTTTAAATAGAATTCGCATTTTATTAGTTTAAATTTCAATTTATTTGGCACTAGTCGAAATATGTGTGACTTTTACCATGTATTTTATTTATTCATTAAATATTACTCTCGATATCAGGAAAGCAGCAGCACTTTTCAAGTTAAGGAATGTTTCCGTTATGCATATTCAAAAAATGGTCAAGATCTATTAAGTGTATGCCCTTGTGAAAATGCGATTTAATGAGTCACCTCAGCGTGAAACATGCACACCCTGTACACAAAAACACGGTAGAATTAGTTCAATACATTCCCTCGACAGTTTTCAAATAATGGCACTAAACAAAGGTTTCAGATTTGTATTAATGGTCTACCTAAGATTTGCAAATAATATTCTGTTTAATAATAAAATGCGTTTTTCACTGTGGAAAAATTACTTGATCCGCCTCTCACAGCACATAAAATGCGTCAAGTTTTACCACGATGACGTCATGTCAACAAGTGCATTG